AAAAAAAAACAAAAAAAATGAGAAATTTATTGAACAATATTATTATATTCTTAGTAATAACAACGACTGATAAGTTATAATAAACATTTGCAGATAGATTTGAAATTGAATAAAAGCTTTTGCTAATAAACTAAAATACAGATACCAACACACAAATAGATTAATCATTTTTTTGTTAAGAAACTTGAACTTTGAAAATTTTTTTGAAAAAATATTTTAATACATCAAAATATACGATGTTCACAATTTGATAATAGTTTAATAACAAAAAAAAGAAAATTTTTTTGAAACTTAAACAAGCCTTATCAATTTATCAACGTTTTTTTCCTTTTCTTTTTCTTCTTTACTTACTACTTTAACTTCAGTTGACAAATGATCAAAATGATTGTCGTCTGCAACAACCAATACATCTGTACAGTTCATCAGTTTGATACGATACTCTACAGTAATTGCTTAAAAAAAAAAGACAAAATTTTAAATTACCAGCATATTTTTGTTTTTCTTTTTGCCTTACTAAACTTCTACAACATCTAAACAATTTTATTAATCTAATTCTACTCAGGTCAAACTGCTTTCTAGTCTAAAAATTTAGCTGTACATCTGTTTTTAACTACAGTATTATAAATACATCTGTTGTCATTTGCAAAATAAATATTTACGCAGAAAAATAGAATAAGCAAAATAGAAGCAATAATTGATAATCGAATTTAAATTAAACTATTGCTATAGATTAATTATGACAATTATTAAGAAAATACTGTAAAAAAAAAAAGAAGAAATTTTTTTTTCAATGTTCTCTTCGGATAACCCGGTGTTTAAAATTTTATGCAATAACTTCGTCTACTACAGTTGCAACAGTTGGCTTATTCATCGTCGATTTTGCAGCATTTACAGAAGGATCATCAATGATGACAACTTCAATAGGTTCTGCTAAATCACTGTCGTCTGTTACAGCATCATCTTCTCCTGCTTCTACCTGATCTTCTACCTGTTGTTGTTGTTGTTGTTCCAATTCGTTTTGTTCTTGTTCACTTTTATTTTCTTGATCATTAGCATCATTTTCAACTTCTGTAGTTTCTGCAACTTCTTCAGACGTATTTACCTCAACTGGCGTATCCACTTTATCAGCATTATTAGTTTTTTCAACTTCAACTTCTGCTTCTTTGTCTTCGATATTGTTACGAGGTTCTTCATTGACTGAAGCGACTACTTGCCCTTCGTCCTCTGCAACATCTTCAGTGTTCTCAACTTTGATATTCTCATCATTTTTATGTAATTCTGCAGAAGGTTCCCCCTCATTTTCTTTAACTAATTTTGGAACATCATTTGTAGATTTGGATTCTGTTTCACCAACTGCTGGTGCATTTTCAGCTTCTGGCGTCTGTGTTTCATCAACACTTGAATTGCTGGCATAAATTGATGGTTCCGTAATAGCTTGTTCAACACTTTTTTTGAGCATTTTTAGCTGTCGCATCAGAAACTCTTTTTCCATTCTTAAAGTCTGTACCTCGCCGATTGCTTCGTCTCGTTCATATTTTAGCTAAATGTTAACAATTAACTCATCTTTAATAGTTAGCTTACTGGTGTAGAAGAAAGTAAAAAGTTTTTGAAGTTGTTTTTAGTAATATTAGAAAGATGAAGATTATTTTTGGTATAAACTTTGAAAAAAAAAATAATGAGCTTTTTAATCGCAGTGACATTTTTTTCTTTTTCTCGAATTTTAGTGTTAAAGAAGTTTTACCGTTTCAAATTCTTTTTCTGTAAAATGCTCATCTGTAGTATTGCCACTGTCAGCTGATTTTTGTACCTAAAAAGACATAAATCTAAATTTTAGAAACTAGAAACTTTTTGGCAGATTAAGAAAGATGAAATAACAGCGCTACTCAGATATTTTCAAACATTTCACCTTTTTTGAGGTTCTAATTTGCTTAAATTTCTGTAGACGTTTACTAAAATATTTGTATATACATAAGTCAATGACTTTGAAAATGGTCAGATTTTATATAAATTTTTGAATTCTTAAAACATTTGCCATATGATAATTGCTTTTTACCCGAGTAAAAAAAACCGAACCAAAAAAATTCTTTAAAGTAAACTACAGCTAAGCTTCAACTTTAATGAAATAAATAATGTAAGTTGAACTAAAAGTTGCAATAAATTTCCAAAACTGTTAGAATCATGTTTCATTTTTTGCCAAAAACCTATTTTTCATGGTTATAAAATACTAATAATGTTACAACTTAAAACTTACTGAAACTTTTGGCGTTTGCCCCTCTTCGCAGTTGACTTTCATCTTTTCAAGGTCATCAAATACGTCACTAAGTTGAGCTTGAAGTTCACGAACATAACTAAACTGCTCAATTTTAGTTCCTTAAACTATGTAACAAAAAAACCGTGCTTATTTTAATCTGTCAGAATAATACAGTTAGTAACTTTATGCAGCTATTAAGATATTACCTATATTAAACTCTGGTTATACTACTGTTAGATACACCAAATAAACGATGTAAGATTTGTAAAAATTCAGACTGATATGCATAAAACAGTTTCAGAAGAATTTAAAGCTACAACAAAATAAAATATATCTTTTTGTTGAACAAATATATTTTAAAAATTCAAGTATTTTTAAGAACAAAAAAAATGATCAAACCCAATTGACTGAATCATTGCTTTTTTACTACTGTGCTTTTCATGAGCCAAGTTTGAAGCTGTGTCAGATGAATTGTTACGATCAACGTCTTTCTAGAAATTAAATGAAAATTTTTAGACATGACTATTTTATCCAAAAGAATAAGCAATTTTTTTAACTATTATAAAAAATGAGTATTTAACATTTAGACAGCTTGACAGGGAAGGATATCTTTGCTTGATTTTAACCTTATGATACACTATATTCTGATTTGCTTTTAAAATGTGCTTTGCCAAATTTTTGCAGTCCTATCAAATTCTAGGTCTTTGATTTTTTTTTATCTCTTTTTTTCTTTTATTGAATGCTTATAAACAGAAGATAGACATCGAACGGCCAAATATATTGCTGATAAAATACGTATATTCTGATAAAGCACAATTGAAAATTGCAGATATTTTTCTCAGTTTTTAGAATTTATACATTCGCAAAAAAAAAAAAAAAAATTATAGGCTTTTGAAGTTGAAAACACTGTTCTAACGCTTTTGAGAAGGGTAAAAGTAAAAACTATGCTTTCTAACATTACCGTTTTGAGGCAGGTATTGAAAAAGCAAATTTATTACTTCTAAAATAAATAGATTTCCAAAAATTACTGACTTTTATAAACAGATAGTTTAAAGGCTGAACTAAGAAAAAAAAAAGTTAGCCTTACAGTGTTGTTATCTTCAAAATCGTTTTGCTTTTCTCTACCAATTTCGAAATTCATTAAAATATTTTGAGTAAATTCTGCTGTTTTGGTTGTGCTTAAACTGGTAATTTCCAGCACATCTGTCTAGCTTAATAAAAGAAGTTTTCCGCTATTAGCAATACTAATAATAAAGTTGAAGAATTGTTACCACTCCACTATTTTCAGTATTCGTTGCAACATCAACTTGTGATTTTTGGGCTACTGAACCAGCGCATCCTGATGTAGAGCTAGTGCGGGCGACAAGAGGTTGCTGCTGAAATTATTCTACTACTGTTTCTCTTTTTTTTTTGTCACTTCTAGACTGGTGCTCTCAAAGAACTTTTGATATTACTAAAAAACTGGTAAAAATTGAAGAATTTACTAACTTCAGGCTTTCCAATAATACGGTCTTTTTCAAGTGCAAATACTTGTGCTTTAGTTCTCGATAATTCACTTTCTACACCTCGTTTTGCTGTTTGCAGTTTCTTTATCTCTTCCTAAATTGAGATGACTATAATTTATTGATGAATACTGCCAAAAACGTTCTTCTAACTTTTTCGACTTGATCATTTACAAAACTTTAGATAAAAAAATGGATAATGAATTAATATAAAAGTAAAAAACTGCTAGAACAAATATTGTTCATTTTCGTCCTCACCTTTATTTCCAACTTAGTAAAGTTGGTTATAATGCTTATGGGCTATTCTATTAACTGCTTTTAGCAACAAAAAAATGTTACATAATAAAACTCAAAAATAAGCTCATCAAACTACTGATCAGCAAATTTTTCCTTACAACTTGAATTCTTCAGTGTATAAAAATAGAGCTCAGTGTTTGAGAATCTGTTGTTCTTTAGTTTTCCTAAAATTTCGCTAACATATCCTAAATCTTTCATTTTATAAAAACTATTATTGTTCTTTTTGCTAAAAAAAATATAGCTTTCCCAAGCTTCTTACGTCAATGCAATGCTGTCTGTCAGAGTCACATAAATTAGTGTTCTAAAAAAAAAAAGCAACAACAAATTAATTTTACAGTGAGTTCTCAAATGTGATACATTGCTGTAAAAAGCAGCGAATTTCAAACAACTTTGAAAAGTTACGATCACGTTTGAAACTTTGATATTTTTTATCATAAAATGAAAATTATTGTTTAGTCGCTGCCAAAATAAAAGCAAAACTTGAATGCACGTAAAGCTTCAAAACAAGATTAGAATAAAAGACTTTCTACAGTTTTTTGTGCAAGGCAATGTGAAGCACTTAAGTAGATAATTTATCAAAAATCTCAAGTAAAATTTTTCATTGTAAATCCTCATTAAACTGTCGCTTAGACGTTGTTTTCTTTTCAAAGATTCTTTAACTACTCAGGTAGCATAACAGCTAAAAAATAGCAAGTTATGCTAACTTACATTAGCAATTTCCAGAGCATCTCTTAAGGAATGAGCTTCTTCTCTTGCCTTGTTTCTTTCGTTTCTAACACTACTCCACTTCTGTCTCCATGAAGCTGTGCATTCTGACCACCATCTCATAGTTTTTTCCATTTGTGCAGCTCGTTGACGAGCCTGTAAAACGTTCTGTTATGGCTGGTTAACTGTATAAATTATTTGTGGAAAACAGCTTAGTTTTACAGTTTTCTATTTCATGCAGCTAAGACTCGGTTTACTACACCTAACTTTCGTGGAATTAAAATGAGGTATCACCATAACTTTAGATAGAACTTAAATGACCATTCATTGAATAACAGCAGAATTTTTAAGCATAAATCATGTCTCTATCAACTCTTAAACGTTGATGTCTCAGTTCGATTCCTAAGATTCATACATCTGCCGGGGAAACAAAAATGCCAGCCGCAGTGACGGTTCTTTATTTTAGAAAAAAAAAGGTTTTTAAAAATGTTCCTAATCAATGTTATGTCCGTCCGGGAACTTGGACATTGCCTAATATCATCATCAAAAGATAACTGTTTTCAGAATATCTTTGAAAGCTGAAAAAAGTTTTTGAAATGACCTCGTTTAGCTCTTGAAGTCGAAACATTTCGCATGCATCCCAGTCTGTGTGTTGACATCTTCCCATAACACTTGGCATTGAGTATACTTTCATGTGTTCTGCAAAGCTGTCCTGAGTAAGTCAGGTGTTAGTGAAATTATGTATTTTGCTTAAAATTAGAGTGATTCTAGCAAAATTTAGCAAATTTTAGTCATTTCTCAACATTTTTACAAATTCATAACCAGTTCTGTAAATGAATATTAATAGCTTTTTATAGCCAACTTTTTCTAAACCAAACTATTAGACCGATGCATAGTGGTTAAGCTGATAGTACAGGTTCCTAACTTCTTTAGTCAAAAAAAGTATGTACTGAATTTGTCGCGATATCAAAAACTGAATAAAATATAATTCTAGTACTAATAAATCATGTTTTCGAAATTAGCACAAAGATAAAAAACTTGTCTAAGCGACAAACATCTTACTTTTTGCACTTACAACAAGCAAATATCGACTAATTTAAGTTACCTGAATAAAACAAAAAAAAAGGCAAAAAAAAAATAAAGTAAATTAATTGTTAATAACAAACCTCCATTATCAGAATATCGATTATGGATATTTGGTGGATTGTGTGAATTTGTAGACATCTGTTGTCGGTAGCGAAGAGGTAGAAAGGCTCCTAAACTATGAATTTGCAATAAAGTACGAATAGTGCCAATGCCTTAACAACTGACGTTAAAATCGTCGACTTCGTAAAACAGTTTTAGTGGTTTTAACAAAGCAAAGGGAAAAAAAGCATTGTGTCTTATATATCTCAGCCTATCAACTTCACTTACAAAACATATATATATATATCTGACCGTATATCCACAAATTTTTTTCCATTTGCTGACTGGCTTTGTTTTAATTTAATTCTCTTCTTTTTCTTTTTTTTTTTTTTGTTTCAAAACAACAATTTTGTTGTATTACGCCATCATCTTTTCAGCTGTATTATACCAGTGTATATATGCTAAAACGCGTGTAATTCTGCGGCTGTTTAACGTCACACTGATAATAAGATTACACCCAAAAGATAAAAATTTAACAAAAATGAAAAATCTCCTGTATAACTTCCGTCCTTAACAAACGCCAAAACTGTTTTTATAACTTAGTTTAGCAAGTTTAAAAATGAAATAACAAATTTAGGGGAAAAGATTGAACACTTAGGGAAATATTTGTCTATCAAAATATTGCTCTTCTACGTTTGATCATAACAACAACTGGTTGATAAAACTCTTCAAACTGTTCGAAGAGCTGTTTTTAACGTGTAGTTGTCCATCAAAATTATACAGTTCAATAACTAAACAGTGTTCCTAAAGTTTTAACAATCTATAATTTGTTGCAAAACATTAACAAGCACAGTTTATTTTGTTTTAATTGTCATCAGTTAGAATTTAATTTGGTTTTTGTGTGAGGTAACAGCAATTATTCATTTTTTTGCACTAAAATTTAGTTTTCCAAAATTTATGTCAAATTTTAACTTTTGTAAGGCTAAAGACTTCATTTTTTTTTAATATATCAACAGTACATTAGTTTTTGTTGTTGATCCTCAGAAATTTCTGTTTTTTTTTTCTAAGTTCGAAAACAAATAATTTTTATAGTGTAAAACATTCAAAACAATTTGGACTAATTAAATTTATTTAATAGTCTTCTTTTTTTCGATGTTACACACCAATAATCATAGCAGAGGTGATCTGCACGAAGAAACAGATGTTTTATCCAGAAATTCCGTTTTTACCTTAATGACTTTTCCTTCTTTTTCCTAATCTACTCTTCCCAAAAAGTTACCTCACGTGGAAAAATGTAAGCGACGATAAAACGAAGTAAATTTAAATACCTAATAAGAAGATATCGACAGAAATCGCGTTTCCGGCTATGAGATGCAGCAGTTACGAAAAATACTTACTTGCACTTAGTTACAAAATATTTCTTTTAAAAATTACGAAACACAAAGCATTGTTCTCGACAATTTTCACTCACTTTTTTAAGGGATCACTTTTGAATAAAATATCATATGCATTAATTATTTCCTTAGCCGTCTTCAGCTAAAAAGCATCTTTTGAAGTCATGCGAGAAGCAAGAAATTTTAAGTTTCTTTTGACCTTCTTTCAACCTCATTCTGTACTGCTCATCACTGCTCTTATTATGAACTATAAAATCAAGGATACAATAAAAAATGACGCTTTTTTTATTCTGTTTTACTGGGCTTCGCACTTGCATTATCCTTCTGTTGCTTTGAACTAGTGTAATTTGGAATGCTTTGACTAATCTGTTTCAAAGAGCTGTATTTAGCACTAATGTTACTGGACGAGAGAAGAATAGAACGGTTATTCATGGAAAAGAGATAAAAGTTTTTGAATAATTTTGGAAAACATTGGTGGTGAACAAGGAAAGAGTGGAAAACCACATTGCTAATTTCAGAGTTTTTTAGCTTTAAAAACCTATAATAAAATAGTGATCAAAATAGTTGCAAAATTTTTCTAAAAAACGATTAATTTGAAGTCTTTTATAACAGCTAAACTGTGCAGTGCAGATACATCTTACTATGTTGTATTTTTCAGTTTCTTTTGATGAAAACCTGAAAAAAATAGAACATTAAGTACTGTAAAGCTACACTCTTTACTTTGACAGTTGTATGACGACTTTTTTTTCTTGAGAAGTAGGCGTTTTATAGCTTCAAACAATGTCTTTAATTTTCTTCTACCTTCTTCTTTTCTCACATCTTTCCTACCTGATTTATCTACTGATATTCTCAACAAAAAAATTCTTTTCTAAAGTGATGCTGCAGAAAAAAGACTAACTATAATTTATGAGTTATTTTTTCTGTTTTTTTTTTTTCAAACCCAGTTTTACTCTTCTCCAATCTCTGTTTTGTTCTCACTTTTTATGCTAAGCCAGACTTTGATGTCTGACATGTTTCAAACTGTTGACGTTGAACAGTAATGATTACATTACATATGATCACGTAGATATGCAAAAAAAAAAAAAAATTGTCTAAGAAATCTAATTCATCAGTTAGTGGCATGTATGGCATATGATTATTGTCAGCTTCAATCGCATCAGCAAAATCATTAGATTGAACCAAATGGTTCGTTAAAACAGTTGAGTAATGTTGTTAATGAGAAGAAAAAAAACCTTTTTCAACTTCTGCTTCTACTACCCACAAATAATCATAACAAATATTAAACAGAAAACTGTCTTTCGTTGAGTGAAAAATTTTTTTGTTGGAAGAAATCTATATCAAATTTCACATAGACAATGGTATACATTTCAGTTATCCATCAGCTATCAGAACTAATAATTTGCCGATTAAGTGGAGAAACGCGATAATCAATTGATGAATGAAAAGTGATATAAAACAGTGAAAATAGTATACAGATAAGTAAAATAAGTGAAAGATTTATAGAAACGTATTAATTTTTTTTCCTAAAGCTGTGTAAAGAAGCAGTTTTTCTTTTTTATTACATAAGTATCATCTCTTCTTTTTGAAATCAATGTCTACTTGTAGTTTTATCAGATAATCAGTCAATTTTTTTAATTTTGGAGCAACATAAGTAGTGTGATGAATAACCGACAAAAAAAATTAAACCGCAACAGTTGACAATAAAAATAGATAATCACCAAAATTTAGCTTTCATTTTGTTTTTCTTAGAAAATTTAAGGAATACCGGTAACACAGATAACAGTAGCAAAAAATCTAGATTGAACTTTTTTTTTTTTCTAGCATTAACCCTGGTAACTCTGTTTGGTTGTTCAATCAAATAAACTGCTTTAACTGTTTTTATCAATTTATTCTTCAAGTTTTTTATCCACTTTGTATCACTATTAAGCCACTAATATCCATCAGTTCTGAATATTTAGTGGCTTATCAGCCTTATTGTAGACGCTAACCAAAGTGGAATTCATGTGAATACAGAAATGTACACCTAATAATTTTGCTACAGAACCCTTCTGTAGGCTTTTGTTCTCCAAATGCTTCTTTTCTTTCTAGCTGCTTATTATCAAAATTTTATTTAATCAGTACCATTGATTAAAGCAATGAATTAAACATATAAAATCTTTTGGTTAAGTAATAATAACACCAAAAAAGAAAAAAAGAGAAAAAAAGAACACTGAAAAATAAAACTACTTTTTTTTTTGTTTATTTTTTTATTTTTTATTTTCAAATTTAGAAAAATTATTTCCAAGCATATACGAAACAAAAACATTATGACACAGTTTAATAATGGCGACAATAATGCAAAAACTAATTGAATACATACTGTGTAATTGGCATAAATAAATAGTTTTTATTTAAGTCTCATTATTGAAGCAAAATTTATACAATAAAAGTTGATGGTAAACAAAAAAAAAACCATCATTCGTCTTCATCGGTTTTTTTTTTTTTGCTTATAAAAATTTTAGTTTTTTTAATGGATTATAAAACTAAAGCTGAAAGAAAAAAAAACCATTTATATTCGTACGGTGGTGCAGAATGTTGGTGAACGATTGACTATTGACGATAATGGGTTCAAAATGTGGTGGCAATGCAAAAATTTCTCAACCAAAAACATGGAATTTAAAGTGTGCAAAAAAAAAAAATAGTCTATAGCTGCTGCAAAATTTTTTCACCTCTATCAATTAATTCATCAAAGAAAACGACGGAGAAAAAAACTGGGTAAAACAGTTTAAAAAGATGTTACAATAGAAAAGCTAATAAAAAAAAAAATGGTTCAAAAATTTGTTGATCTTCAGTCCTTGTGAAAAAAGAGATGAAAAATTTGAATTGTCTATCATTTTCCATATGTATATGTAACGATTATAGGTTACACAAAAAAAAAAAAAAAAAAAAACCAGCAGAAGACAAATCGAGAATTTAAAGCACCCAAAAAAATGTCTTTTAACTGATGAGATAAGCATCACAAATTCTTGTGCCTCTATTCACCTACCTTTTATCCATTTCTTTTACTGATACGTACTGTCGTTTGAAAAAGTCCAAAAGCAAAATAAATAAATAAATAAATAAATAAATAAAGCAATTAAAACAGAATTTCATTTATTAGCCAAAATTTGTATAGACAAACATTCGAAGTACAAAA